CACTTAACCTACGCTGCCATTCCCCCCCCCCCCTTTCCCTCTCTCTCTCTCTCTAAAGAATAGTGAACCAGGTCCATTTGTAGTTAAGACAGTAGAGATTTTGAGAACATAGGTTGATGGAATAAGGAAGAGAGAGGAGGAAGAAAGATTGTTTTTGCACTGATGTGTTCGGAGAACAACGAGAAAATGACTGGCTGCGAATTGAATGATAAGAAGTGCGGGCAATTTGGAGACACCACCCTCACTAAGGTGTTTGTAGGTGGATTGGCGTGGGAGACGCAGAGAGAAGCCATGAAGCTGCATTTTGAGCAGTTTGGGGAGATCCTCGAGGCCGTTATCATTTCTGATAAGAGCACAGGCAGATCCAAAGGCTATGGATTTGTAAGCATTTCTTCGTTTTCAAAAGCGAGAGAGTTTTCACGAGAGAGAGAGCATTGTTTGATTGTGAGTGAGAGACAGAGAGCTTTCATAGATCATATGTTTATTTGTGGATTGTGATATAGAGAGGGAGATAGGTAAATTCAGTGATTCAATGAGTTGAAAATGGTGGATGTGGGATTTCAGGTGACATTCAAGGATCCAGAATCAGCCAGGAAGGCTTGTGAAGACGCCACCCCCATGATTAATGGCCGCAGAGCAAACTGCAATCTTGCTTCTCTTGGGGCTCGACGCCCTCGAACCAGCACCCCTCAACCAGGCATCTCTCCCTCTCTCTCTCTCTCTTCATTATATTTTCTAATCCAATGCTAAGAACATCATGTGAAGCATGACTCATCGAAGTTTAAATTTATTGTTTCTTTGATGCACGCACATCTAGGGAAAACCAAATTATCAATGACCATGTCTTAGTTTTGAATAGAAGATGGGGAGCTTTCTCTCTCTAAATTGAAGTGGCTATGATTGTTCAGGGCAAGCAGCAAGACCAGCACCTGCTGTTCCCACAGCTGGATCTATTCAGTGGTATTACCACCCCACTCCTATTCCTTATCACCAGCAACCTCTTCCATTCCATGCTTATGGGTACTTAAAACACTTTTCCAATTATCTTTCCTCTATTTATCATTTCATTTGGATGGAAACCCCATAACTTCTTGCTTTCTTTATCTAACATTCTTTCAGAAAATTTCCTAGTCTTTTTTATCTAATGATTATATCTCTCTCTACTCATCAAATAAATTTAATGGTGATTTCAATTATCCTTACAGGTACTATCCAACGTACTACACAGATATGACTTATAACCCAGTGAGTGCCTCTGGATCTCTAAAAATCTTAACCTAAAACTCCTCACATTTTATGGTTGGTTCTCTAAGTGTTCTTTTTTTTGGGTGATTTTGCAGAAGATGAACTATTGTGGGGGTTACATGAGTGGACAGATATATAGTGGGGGGCAAGGGGTTGTTCACCCAACAACAACTGCCACTAATGCAGCCACAATGATGCCTGTGTATCCGCTCTTTCATTTCCCTCCTCAATCTCAGACTTTAGGGCTTCCTGCTCCTGCTCCTCATCACCTATTTCATGCTCCTGCCCCTGCTGCTACCCAGGTTGCAACCCTTCCTGCTTATATCTCAAAGGCTGCAGCCACTCCATTGGCTCCCACAGCAGGTACCAATTCAACCATCTCTCTTTTATGGAGACACATATGGTTGGACCATAAGTTGCCGTATAGTTTTCCACTACTTTCATTCATGTCATTTGGAGGTTTCCTCTTATCTGTACTACTTCGTTTTCCACTACTTTCATTCATGCCTTTTGGAGGTTTCCTCTTATCTGTACTACTTCTATTCATGTTTTTTGGGGGTTTCCTCTTATCCTTTTAGAGCGTGGAAAAGCAAATTATCCATCCTGATCAATGTTGTTCTTAGTTGATGCTTGCTACACATGACCGGATCTCCTAAGCCTACTTTTTCTCATTTTATTTCTTATTAGGGCTACTTCTAAGTTTTCTCAAATATGTTCATACCCAATTTTATCATTTCTTGTTTTGATACGTATCCATCTCAATATTTTCAACACAACTACACTCATTTCATTAATAAATTGTTTCTTGATCACCAAATTGTTTATAAATATATGTAAACACACACATATATATATATATATATATATATATATTCTTATACAAAATAAATTAATTTTTTATATATATTTTCATATACACGACCACCAAATTTTTAGTAGTGCCTCAATTTTTTTGGGTCAATCAGCTGAAACATGGCTGGACTACTAAAAATTGGAGTCGCAGCTCTGTTTCTTTTCCTAAAATAAAATAAATAAATAAATGTTTTCGCTAATTTCCGAGGTGGGCTGAGGCTTTTATTGTCCACATAGTGCCTGGATGCCATGTGGTCCGCACAAAAGTCGAGTGTGTTGTTTGACATCCAATTGGCAACATCCGATGCTTCACATGGCACCATGTATTTTAGAGAGAGAAAGAGAGACGGAAATACAGATTTTTTAATCACTTTGCCTGCTCCAAGTAACTTTTTCTGTTAGCCAAGTTGGAAGAGAGAGAAAGAAATACTCAGAGCTCATAATTTTCTGCTTTTATATCTCAAAAAAAAAAAAATTCCTCTGGTATATACTTTCTCTTATTTAATTTAATTTTTTTAAAGTTTAGTGAGGATGTCGAGTTCTTACTCATTTTTTAAATGATCAATTTTTTAATCATTAGTAAGAGAGGAGGTCAAGACTTTTGACTAGGACTCACAACCTTAGCCCCATTCTTGAAGTTTAGCTCCTTTTGATATGGCAATGCTGACACACAAATACCGACGGGCTACGGTTTGTGCGACGTATCAACCTTAAATAATCAACATAAGGCGTACTTCCAAACTTTATCGAAAGAGTGAATTTTGGTTCCTTATGATAGCTAGAAAATCTATTTTTACCTCTATGTATAAATTTTAAAATTTTAAAAATAGTGCAAACCAAACAAATCTATCAAATACTTTAAAATATCTTAATTATTTTGAGTTGAAAAACATATAGTCAACTAACACACGAACAGTTTGCTTGGCAATGGAGCAGGTTCAGGGTTGCAATTGAAAGTTTCGGTGCAAGAGTTTCATGGGGTTCCCATTATCAAACTTTGTAGCAAGAACGTGTGAAACCATCTTTTTCTCTCTATTCTTTTTCTTTTTCTTCTATATTTTTTTCTCTTCCCATTGTTTACTTGTAGCATGATTAGATTCATTCATTCTCTCTAACATGCATCTTCCGCGGATGCAAACTTGTAACAGAGAAGCCATGTATGTTTACTTGGTTATTTTATGGTAAACTTTGTATGGCTTTGTTTTAAATAAGTCTAAGAATTAGCCATTAAAGTCATAATTTGCAAATGGAACCTCTTAGCGATAATCGCCTGGTTAGCCTTCGAGTAACAGCGGGGCTGCAGTTGAGAGTTTTATTCGTGCGCAAGGAGAATTACCCTATTATAGGGCTGTAAAATAGTGTGATGTAATATTTTTTCTATAAATTAAACAAGAGGCCTTCTCCCTCACTGATTTACTCAAAATAATAATAATAATAATAATAATAAATAAAAAAAAACCACCATTATCCAGTGGAGTACATCGCACTATGCTCCAAAGAGGTACCTACCTGATTCCTTTGACCCTCAGTGAAGAAACTATACGTTTTGGGACCACCAGAACAGTAATGGAGACGATGTTTCTCTTAAACATTTCGAATGGACGACGATGGTTGCAAAGCTTACTCCTCAGAATGTTGAGGAACTCGGCTGGGTTAGGCAAGTTCCCAATAGATAGGGCCGGCCCTGGTTCTAGACAGCTAACGGGCCAGTACTTGTATATGGGTTTAGCCGATTTGCATATTTGCTATGTGCTTAGCCCATTTGCATATGGGCTTGGTAAGTTCCCAATAGATAGGGCCGGCCCTGGTTCTGGACAGCTAATGGGCCAGTTTTTGGGCCGAAAACGGGCCTCAGGCAGGCCCGGGCAGGGCCTTCATAAATATGGTGTACTTTCGTTCCTGGCGGGGCCATGGAACGCACGAAAATATCCAACGGGCCATGATGGTAAAAGGAGCCCAGAATGCCTTGCCTAGGCCCAATAAGCTATGACCAAAAAAAGGCCTGGCCCATTGAGCACTTTTTTTGTTCTTTTGTTTTTCACTCTTTAAAATTTTAGTATTTGTAGGAAGGCAAAAATTAAATAAAATATTTTGCCCAAATAGGAAACCCATTTATTTTAGTTATCTCCTTCCAATATTTTGCAACCTAGAGAGAGAAAGAAACGTAACCTTTTTTTATGGTGTGCATTGAGATTTTGCCCAAAAAGAAAACCCATTTATTTTTGGGTGCGGTTTGTATAGAGCCCAGGCTCGAAACAATCAAATTAGAGCCTACTTTCAAATGGTGTCAAAAAATATGGTTTTGATATTGGAAAGTTTTGTGATAGCCTTAAATTATATTTTTATCTTCAGTTATAAAATTTAAAGCTTAAAAAATGGTGTAAATTCAGCAGATCTATGAAAACTTGAAAATCTTGTAAATTGACGGTCCAAATATTCATTATAAGATGCATTATTTCCAAAACTTGAAATTCATTTTTTTTCTCATGTGCATGGATCTTGATGTCAAGATGATCAATTTGATGATATTTTGGCATCAAAACAACCTCGTCTAGTGAAAGTTTTAAGATATGCTATAATTTGATTGTTTAGAGCCGAGGCTCTATATAGACTTTTCCCTAAAGTATGGGCCGTTCTTTATTGGTGCATATTAAGATTTGAGCAAGCTTTCTAGGTTTGTCTACAACATAAAACTTATATACTTCCACTTATCCAATCATCCATTCTGAATGGAGGGCTAGGATTCCAACCACCATGTCACGTCTCTATACTATTTTTACTTTTATTTTTTTTATATAGACTGTTTTGACACCAAATTTTTTACGTCCAACCCTCTATTAAACTCGCATTCGCAAAAAATAAAAAAATAAAAAATATTTCTAATAAAATAAAATGACCAAAATACCCTTTAAAATTTTAAAGGGTATTTTGGTCATTATATTTTATCGAAAATTTATTTTTAATACTTTTTATAGGTGCGTCCCAATGAAAATATGACACGTACCAATTTCATATTCATACAATTTGTATAAAAAAAACTAAAAAAAAAATACTTTAAGATGTCAGATCTAAGATCAAACGGTGAATGGCTCTCTTAATCAAAATTGGACGGCTGAATGATAGAGAAAGCATAGATCTTCTATGTTGTAGGGGAAGTATAGAAACATTTCCCTTGACATTTTGCCCAAAAAGAAAAAAAATGTAGCTTTAGAAAAATGTGAGCCATTCTTTATGAGCCCATATTGAGATTTTACCTAAAAAAACTCATTTATTTTGGTTATCTTCTTCCTCTATGTTTCAAATGGGGAGGAAGAGACCATTTCACTTGTGAAGAGACAGAGGCCCATTTCAAATGGAGAGAGAGATAGAGACCCGTTTCAAATGGAAAGAGATACCATTTAACTAGATGTCATCATCCAAGCATTGCACGTCATTTGGGTTACCATCGATCTCTCTATGAAAACTCTCTCATTCTTTAGAAATCTAATCTCTCTTTTTCTCTCTAAAAATTATCACTAGAAACCCAATCTCTCTCTAAAAACTCTCTCATTTTTTAGAAACCCAATTTTTTTCTCTCTCTAACAACTCTCTCTCTAAATCCCAATCTCTTTTTTTCCATGTAGAGACTCATTCTCTTTCTAAAAATTCATTTTCTCTTTTTCTTTCTAAAATCCCAATCTCTCTCTCTAAAATCTCAATCTTTATTATTTCTAAAAAAAATTTATGAATATTTTTTTCTTTACAAGTCAAGGGAGATTTTTTTAAAAAAATTTTTGTGGGATTGAGTATGTTGGGCCAGATCCAATAGGCTTAATGGGCCTTCCTTGGCCTCCTTATAAAGATTCCGGGCCTAATAGTCGGGCACGGGCTATTATGGGCAGGTCCATATCGGGCCAGTCTAGGCAATCTCGAGCTCCGGGACGGGCCGGCCCAGGTCATGCCCATGGCAGCCCTAAAAACCTGATTGAGAAATGAAAAGGTGAGCATTACACAGGCAAGTTCTTCGGAGATATGATCAGAGAGGCCTCATTGTGAGAGTGGAGAGACAAGGGATGAGCATTTTAAAAGAAAGGAGAGAGGAGGATAGAGATAGAGAGAACAACTTAGAAGAGAGGTATTGCAACGGAGAGAGACATTTACTCCCAAGATCATCGTCTTAAGACCATCAATGCTAAAATTTGTCTTTTGTGGACACCATACACATGAGTACCGAGAAAGTGGTTTCTTGCTCAAATGTGATCTCTCTCTATACAGAGAGAGAGAGTGTTGGATGTGTGGCCAGTAAAAGTCTTATGAGTGCTTGTAATTGAACTTTTTATATAATGGAACATGAACTCAGTAAGCGTGTGGTTATGTGTGGACCATACTAAGCAAACGATGTTTTGCTGATACCGGATTGAGCTTTACAAGCTAAGTCAGTCTGGTTGAAAAAATCACATGTTAACTCGGCATAACGATTATAATGGGCCACGATGGAGGTCTTCAGAGACAGGGTTAAGGCCTCATCCGCTTAGCATCACACAACATGCACATATGATAGCTGTTTTGAACCACCTAGAGAGCGAACAATCTTTTAGAGTGAAGCTTGTACATGTGCGAGAGATGACCCATATGCACCATAGAGCAATGGATTTTATCAAGTCTAGGTGACAGCTTGTGTATGTGCAAGAGATAACCCATATGCAACATAGAGCAATGGATTGCATCAGGTTTCAGTGACATTAGTTTTATCTCTAGGGGAGAACATGAAATTCATAGTCTGAGACTGTGAACCCGTGCCCATTGGCTAGACTTTGATGACCTACTATTGAATCATTGCATAGACTATGGGTCGCAATACTAGATCGATTTGATAAAGCAAGTGTGGACCGTGGTCCAAATTAGAACGTGAAATGCCCTAATGTATATTTATTTGTTCCTAAACTATAAGGATATTTTTTCCATCAAAATATTTAATTATAATTGTTTTGATATTATATGATTTTTAGAATTGTTATTTAAATTTTTCTAAACTTCTAGATATTTTATTTATCGAATTTAGATTTGTAAAAACGTATATATTGATTTTACATGATTTAATTATTCAAAGATGATTTTATGAATTTCTAAAAATCATAAACTATTTTTTTAAAAGAAATATTTTACATTACATGGGAGGGCCAATAAGATGGGCCCACCATGTGAATTGGGTGGGGCCCATAGAGTGCCACCTATGGTGGCACGCCTCACCTTGAGGAGCCTTCTATTATTTTTTTTAGCTTATGTTCATAGCTTGAGCGAAAAGATAGCTTGTGTTTTGGAAAGCTTGTGCTTTGAGGAAGCTTTAAATCTAATTTGGTATGTGTGAGAAAACTTGTGCAAAAAATGATAAAACATAATATTATTATATATTATTTTTTTATTTAAATTATTTGATGGGAAAATAGTTTAGAAAATGGGAGATAATAGTTTTAGCCCCTTCTATATGATATTAATGGCCCATTTATGGAATGGAATGCTCCTTTTCTCACCTCACAAGTCACCCAAGATCAATGGTGCATATTCAATGTCACAAAAAGAAGTAACCCATGAAAAACCCTAAAACCCCTAGAAACACTATAAAAAGGGAGAGACCCTATCCAATAATCTCTACACCGGATCTCTTATCTCTCTCTTGTGAAAAGTTTTATCTCTCATAAGCCCACATAGGAGGCACACCCCAAATAATAACTCTCTCTCTCTCTCATGGTAAAAAAAGGGGGGGATACGCCCCAACTCTATAAATCTCTTTGAACAAAGGCGCACACCGCAACTCTATAAAATATCTATGAAGAAAGGGGCATGCCCCAACTCTATAAAATATCTCTGAAGAAAGGGGCATGCCCCACTTATTGTAGTTGGATCTCTCTCTCCCATCTTATTGTAATATGGCCTAAACGGTTAAGGGTGTAGAAAGAAGATGTTATATCTCTCAACTAGGTTATTAAGGGGTTCTACCTAAGCTTGAGATTTGATTGAAAAACGAGTTTTTGTTCTATTTGAGGGTTTTGACCTAAATTGCTCTCACATGATTGAGATTGAAGGTTGACCATTGATCCCGTACTATCGGAAGGTGATGACTCGGTGTGGGGTGTAAAAAGACCAATTGAGGTAATCTCTAACACTTTTTTGTATCACTTGTCATATTTACTTATTGTGTCTTTTATTATTATTATTTCCAAGCATAGAATGTATCTTTTCTTTGTTATTTAAAAAAAGGATTTTGAA